TCTTATTTACAGCCATGTTATTGTGACTCATCGTCTTTCTCTTAATTACCATTGGTTCACATTATTAAGTTGGTTCTTCAGGCAAGAAGTCTGCCCTGCCTGGTCTTAGTGGGATCCTGGTGGGTGTTTATCCTTTGCTCCACCGGAAGTCATTGGAAAATGTAGCTGCTTTTTAGCATGATTGGGTTTAAAGTTTAATAGAGGCCATCTTGATCCTGATTTTGGGCTCCAAATTTGTTTGACTGCCAGGGCACTTAACACCTTATTGTTTGGGGTCGCTGGGTGTTGATATTCTTACAGCTGGTTCTCTCTGCAGGGTGGTGGTTTGGCACTTTCCTCCCTGGGTGATGCCAGGGGATGCCAAGTGTATTCGTAACTGTTTATATTGCAGTAAGGCAGTATATTTTCCACTGATTGGAGATGTACTTCCACTGAGCTTTGAATTTTTCCTCGACATAGGTGCAACAGGGTACATCCGAAAATGTGCTGTAGCAGCCCCTAACCCAACAACAACAATACTAAACATTTTGTCTAGGCTTCTGGTAAATAGCATTTTGTGCATGTATCACAAGTAAGAAAGTTATTACATGCATATTCACTTGATAACAAAGCTTTCAGTAAAATATTAAAGTACATATGAGTGCATTATTGTTCAGCTACAGGTATTTAATTTTGAATACTGTACTTCATAAAAAAATTTGCAAGTCCTTAGCAGTATTTTCAGTCAGTGTAGTAGGGTTTAACCCTTAAAGTGCAGCTTTGGAAATGCATGTCTGCCTGCCTAGATGAAAAAAATTAAAACAGACATTTCTTATATAATGATTAATTTGGATGTAAAATATAAAGAAAAGTGGAAATAAAGTTAATATCTTATGCAGGCGATGAGTCACAATAGCGTGGCTAAAGTATGTTGACCAGACCACACACTAGAAGATGAAGGGACAACGACGTTACGGTCCGTCCTGGACCATTCTCAAGTCAATTGCGATGAGGAAGTATTGTTGTTGTAATAGATTCAGCTACTCCGAACACGTTCCAAGTAGCACGGGCTATGGTGAGCCCGTAGCGGACTTACCTGGCACAGGAGCGGTGCTGTGGATGAAGTGATGAGGAAGTAGAGACAAGCAATAAATAGGCAAGAGAGAGCTGAGGAGCAATGTAAGGTGTAGTAGAGGGGATAGTAATAATAATAAGAGCTGCAGAGGGCCTATTGGCACATACGAGGCAGCTCCTATTATAACCACCGAATGAGAAGGAGATAGGAATAAGAAGAGGATAGCAAGGGAGCGTAGGAGAAGACAATGAACAGAAAAAGGGGAAAAGAGAGAAAGAAATGGAAAGAGAAAGAAAGATAAATGGAAGGGGTAGGCTTATGTTAGGTCACATTTCTTAGAAAGATTAGAGCATTTAAGTATATACTGTGAAAGGGAAGAGTCCACAGCAACAAAGCCAGGACTCAAGTTCATGTTGGGTACATTGTGTATTAGAGCTGATTCAACAAGATGGCGTCTGTGTAGAGTAGAGGCAGGAAAGATTATTTTGGAGGAAGACCAATCAATGGGATGATTAGAATCCCTCACATGGCAGAAGAGAGCATTGTTAGTGTCTGCAGACTTAACACTTCTCTTGTGTTCTTTAACCCTTAACATGCTCGGGGTTTAATATCCTGTCATCCCCACAGGCGCATGTCATTTTGAAAAAAAAAAATTATTTTTTCTTCCTAACCTGTTAATTTGTGTTCACTGATCACGGGAAAAATAATAAAAAAATCGTAAGTGGCATATATTGTCCGCTATAGGGCGGGGAAGTCTGGCAAATTATGGGCGCTGACTCAGCGTGCGTCCCAGGCGGTCTGTTGCTCGCAAGCTGTCAGGCCAGAGTTGCCACAAAGAGATAATTACCGAATTATTTCAATGTCTCTGATTGATTTTTCATACTTTTTTTGCCGTAATATTATTCAATAGTGTGTAGTTTGATATATTTATATAATAAAATGAGTGAATCATTGCTGTACTCAAAAATATGGTGTGCATATTGTTGATTCAATTATGTTCATCAATCAGTGAACAAATACTTTGTCGGTCATTACATTATAAGCACAGGTTATATATAAGTATCTACATGTTTTGTTCACTTTAACGAACCACTAAGTAGCTATTATGAGTCAAAATGTAACGAGGAGTGACCGCCGTTTACCAGACAGTCACTCCCGCCCTCCCTCCAGTCATCTGACTCACCCACATTCTCCTCCCACAATAATGTTTTTGCTATAATTCACTATATACAGACGTTATATATAAGTATCTACATGTTTTGTTCACCATAACTGTACATCTAAGCTTGTATGGTGAGTAAAGGCACAAAGATGTACCTGCTCACACAGTCAGCTGATCGGCGGCCGCCCTCAAGGCCAGACGCACTAATATTTCTCCTCCAACAATACTGTGTGGTGTTATTACGCTATATACACACATTATATATAAATATCTACCTGTTTTATTCACCATACTTGTACAAATAAACTGGTATGGTGCACAAAGACCATCATGGTAACCAGTAAACAACACCGTCGTCTGCACGGTGGCGTCTTGCAGACGACGCCACCGCCCTCACCAAAATGGCGGCTCCAAACCTTCTCTTGCTGTTTATACTCTCTATACACACGTTATATATAAGTATCTACATTTGTGTTCACCATAGCGAACCACTAAGCTGGTAAGGTGAGTGCAGTCAATAAAAGGTGGCCACACACAGTCAAAAGACATCGCCACCACCCTCCCTCCCACAGCATTACTCCTCCCTCCATGGTGCACAGCGCTAAATATCACCAAAATCCTGCTATTATCAGAACCCTGGTTATTTTTATCACAGTCAGGGGTCTTCCGTAATAATATCATCGCTACATAATAGCATAAACAAGTATAATTTGGCATTTTTAGGCGATGCTGTGGTCACAAGCTGAACAGCAGTGCTGTTAGCTCATGCTGCATGCGTCAGGCTTGGTTGCTCACTCAATACTGAAGCCAATAACACCCGGGAGTTTGGCCCACGATTTTTTAAAAAAATGGCGTCTGTTTACAAGAGCCCTGATGAAGGTGTGGTGAACCCCGTGTATCCGCGGGCTGTTTAAATCTTGCGTAGTACTCCAACACATCATATGACGTGATGCGCAGCTGACTGGAACAACGTCCAGCACGTCATATGACGTGATGCGCACTTTAAGGGTTAAGTCTGTCATTCAGTGTATGGCCAGTTTCGCCAAAGTATTGGAGAGGACAAGACGAACAGGAAATAGAGTAGACACCAGCAGCATTAGAAGCAGGAGTTGCAGTGTGAACTAGATTGCTACGAAGTGTGTTAGTTTGTCTTAATATCTTACATATTTACTTGTTATGTGAGCTGTATAAGTTTACTAGGTGGCAGGCTCAGCTGAATCTGCCAATGCCTGACCTTGTCTCTTGTTGACACAATGATGTGTGGCAGAGGGTTCCAGTGCTGAGCTTGAAACTTTTTCGCGTATTAGTTCATTTACTACTGATATAGTATTTGGGGTGAAGAGAAGGAGAGAGAGACTTGGGTATGGCCATGTACCCCCTTCTATACTGTATATATAAATGGAAATGTCTGTGTTCGAGGTAGGAGTCCACACAGTTAAGAAGAGGGAAAAGATGGGAGAGGTTGTGGAAATAGGGTAGATGGGAGGGAAAGGGGCGGGCAGAGGGAAAGTGGGGAAAAAGAGGTGCGGAATGCTGGGTGGGGACAAAGAAAGACTATTCCAGGCACAGTAAGGTACCCCCATCTAGTATGAGCATAATCAGTGTGCATATGTAATTATAATGAAATTTCAAACCATTATGATTATCACATTGGCATGGTGACATTTGTGATAACGTCATTTGCATAGAAAGCAATCATGAAATGATAGCACAATTTTTAATGGGGTTTAGATAAAATGCACTGCATCCTTATAGAGCTATTACAGTGTGTCCATATTAACATCTTTGGTATAAAACTTGGCAATAATAGTTTATGATCAACATATGACAAGTGTGTGCCACCAGTACCCAAAGCGCAGTGGTAAGACATTTGCCTCGTGCTATGCGAGTGATTTTTGCCTGGGTTCGTATCCTGGTTGAGAAGGATTGACAAAGCACCAATACTTAATTGTACGCCTCTATTCACCCAGCAATGAATGGGTACCTGGTTGTTAAACAATTTGGCGGGTTGTATTCCAGGGAAAATTTGGATTAAGGACCTGCCTGAAATACTATGCGTGCTAGTGACTTTACAAGAATGTAAGAACTCGTATATATATCTAAATAAATAAATAAATAAAATAAATAAAATAGCTGCACTTGAAGGATTAAACCTGACCCATAAACATCCTGACAGTAATGTCACAATAATGAATGTGAATTACACTTATATAAACTACCTTTATTATTGTTTAGTGTATATTGCAACTGAGTGTTTGGCTTAACACAAATGATTTCATACACTTGACAGTCTTTAAGTTGGGGGGAGCTAGAGCACTATGATGATAGGTTTTCTGATTTATACTATTTATTTATGCTAGTCCTAAAACATTTTTGTGTGAAAAACAGTAGAAGCTCAAACTGCTGCTTTTTATAAGGCATGTTGAAATATATGGAGGTGCCTTTTGATGATTACTTATATGGCATATTGTACCTAATATAATACTAATGTAATGTATTACTGTACTATGGCTTTAACTTGATTTCTCAACAGTCTATATCATGCCTTATACTAATGTGGCCATTTGTAAAAATAAATAAAATGTTTAAAAAATAAACTATTCCTCTAATCCCTATTTTGTTTATGCATTTAATTAAGAGTACACAAGTATTGTATGTTTACTATAGATTGACTTATTGATATTATACCTTTTATTGGTAATTCTGTTCTCTTCTGTAATTTTTATCTGTACTGTATATAAGTGCTGGTTCTTATACAATACAGTATTAATTTTTTTCTTTTAGGCAGGCGAAATGGTACGAAAAGGTAAAGATGGAGCACTCCATTTACGGCAGATAAGGCACTATATGGAGACTGGAGCATACCTCTCCTCTGTTCATATAACTGAGAAGAATGGCATAAGAAAATCATCAACAAAGTTTTTAATGGAAGGTATATTTTTGTGAATAATTTGAAATTTTAAAAGTACAGTATTGATGTTCTTTTAGTGTGTATAGAGTAAATATCTAAACTCGTACATTTATTTCATGCGACAGTTATTACAGTGATCGTTGGTATGTCAGAGTGTGAGAAAGGTGAGTTGTTGGGTAGTGGAATAAGTAGAGAGAGAAATACACTACTGTATAATGGTCTGGGCATATGTAGAGAATTAGAAGAGTAATTGACAGTTTATTTTATTCATTGAAAAATTACAGGATTATTTTAGTGATAGGTATTGGGCACCCAACCCACAAATTTGAAAATAAAGTATTTACAACATTTTGGTCTGTCCTGGACCAATATCAAGTCGTGACTTGATATTGGTCCAGGACTAGATAATGGTCCAGTACACGCTGAAATGTCATTATTCTTTTGGGGGGGGGGCCCCTCTTCGGCTCCCCGGAGCTATCTGGCTGATACGGATGTATAAGCTTTGGGCATCAGTCAATGTACATGGAGTTCTAGGCCTACCTGGGACTACGAGCCAGAACCAGGCCCTCCCTCAGAGAAGCGCGAGGAGCAATGGCCTATAGCGACACCTTATACAGTACAGGTATATGGTTTAGAGGTACTTCATGTCTGTCATCGACTGGGTCGGGCACCCAGAAAGATAGGCGCCCCAAAATACCCCTCCATTCTGGTTAAGAAATGCTACCAAACGCTGAACGAGAGGATAAAAATGATCAAACGAGCATGATGTCATCTCGTTACCAACGCGCTGTCATCTGTGCAAACCCCTCCCTGGGAGGGGGAAGGGGGGAACCCCAGACCCCCTGTCGGCTATGAGAGCTGTTAGTTCTTGGCTGATGTCAGTGGGCTACGGTTGTGTACCTCCAGCTCCGGCTTTTCTTTTCTGTTCTTGCTTCGGTGGTGTGCGAGCTGAGAGTATACTCACAAGTAATCGGGCTGCATGTGCTTAGGGTCCCCCTTCCCTAAGCGCCCTGTAAGTACTGCCCTTGGGGCCTCTTTCCACAAGTTGCCTTAGGAGCTACCTCCGTTGTGTCAATTACTGCTCGGTACTTGTCCACCCTTGGAGTCAGCGGGGGGGTTTTCTTGCTCCTCTGTTTGTCTCTGGGTATGGGGTAGTATTCGTCACTGGTAGGGGTGCAGAGTATTTATGCAGCTAGCAGTCACCTCTCATAGCGGCTGGCTCTGCATCCTGTGGGTGCGCTACCCTCTTGCGGGGTTTTTTGTTTCTTTTTATTCCTTGCCTTGGCAGGGGGGGAGGGGGGTCTGCCTTTGGATTTGGGTTCCACCTTCTATATTGGTGGTACTCCTGCTAGGCCCCCCGTGAGCATACATGTCCCAGGGGTGCAGTCTTCAAAGTTTGTTTGGTAAAATTGGGAGCCGGTTAGTAGTACCCTGCCTTGGCTTCCCGTAGTGAAGATTGAAAAGCTAAGGGCCCTGGGAAACCCCATGGGGGTGTGTGGGTCCATTGAATGTGACCTCTGAGTTTCCTCCCCCCCTCCCACCCTCGCTTTTTGCAAGTTTGAAAATTGCTGTCCCCTTGTCTCAGGGTGACTCATTGTTTTTGCCTCCGTCCAGCTGCCTGTTGGGTCGGTTACACCTTCGACCCAGAGTCCTGAAAGTTGTTGCTTGTTAGTGATTCTGTTCACCCTATTCGCGGATGACTTTCTGGGTGCTGGCGACGGGCGTTGCATGCTGGGTTTAGATTGCTGCAACACACTAGGTTGTTTGCTACACTGGAAGTCCCGAGGCTGCTCAGTTTTGCTTATAGGGTCCCAGACTTCGGGGTGTGAGGTGCTTCGGTGTTGGTTTGGTCCGCTCCCCTTCGTTCCTTTCCTGCTGTGGTGCTTATTGGTCCCCCTCCTGCTTCCGACTCCAAAGCTTCTGACAGCTTTGGGGTTGGGGCGAGGTTTAGCTGGTTTTGAGACTCGGGCAGTCTTGGGGAATGCCCCTTCTTGGGTGGCGACAGAGGCATTCGAGTCGGTTCCTCCAGCCGTTGCGTATGTGTCTGACCAGTGGGCCCCCTTTCCTTAACCCTTACACTGCTCAGGGGTCATATGGACATTTACACCCCTGTGCGCAAGAAAAAAAAAATTCAAATTTTTTTTTTCGTCTTCTAAACATGTTAATTTGTGTCCCCTGAGCACGGAAAAAATAAAAAAAAAATCGTAGGTGACATATTTTGGGCGCAATTGACCGAGGAAGTCTGGCAAAAAGCGGGCGTTGACAGAGCGGTCGTCAGACCCGGTCAGCGTCACCCGCGTTGACAGATGGGAGTTGCCACAAAGATATTATTACCTAATTGTTTCAATGTCTCCGATTGATTTTTTCTTAATTTTTTTGCAGTAATATTATTCAATAGTGTGTATTGTAATATATTTATATAATAAAAGTGGTTAATAATCGCTATACTCAAAAGTATGATGTGCATATTAGTGATTCAATTATTATGTTTATAAAACAATAAACAAATAGTTTTGCTGCTATTACACTCTATACACCGGTTATATATAAGTATTGGCATGTTTTGGTCACCATAACGAACCACTAAGTTGGTATTGAGTCGAAAAGCAACGAGGAGTTACCGCCACACACCAGCCAGCCACTCGCTGCCACTCCCTCAACACACGCACTAAACTTTCTCCCCCAACAATACCAGTTGTGGTGTTATTGCACTATATACAGACGTTATATATAAGTATGTGTATATTTTGTTTACCACAACTGTACAGCTAAGCTGATATAGTTAGTTCAGGCACTAAGAGTCGTCGCTATACACAGATGGCGGCTGGCGGCTCCCTCACTCTTTCAAGGTCACACGCACTAAACTTTCTCCTCCAACAATATCTTTTGCAGTGTTATTACCCTATATACACATATTATATATAAATATCTACATGTTTTATGCACCGTAACTGTACACCTAAGCTTGTAGTGCGCCCAAAGAGCATATTGGCCACCCTCTAAACAGCTAGAGAAATCGTGCAGACGACGTCACCTCCGTCACCCATATGGCTCCTCCCAGCATAATCCTTTTGCTGTTATTACACTAATACACACATTATATATAAGTATCTACATTTGTGTTCACCATAGAGAACCACTGACCTGGTATGGTGAACGCAAACAATAACAGGTGGCCACACAGTCAGTAAACGATGCTGTCTCCCTCCATCTCTCAGCATCACTCCTCACACAGTGCTAATTATTACAACAATCCTGCTATTATCACAACCCTGGTTATTTATATCACAGTCATTGGTCATCTGTAATATTGTCATCGCTAAATAATAACAATTATATATTTATTTTGACATTTTTCGGCGATGCTGTGGTCACAAGCAGAACATCAATGCTGTTCGCTCATGCTGCGTGCGCCGGTCTTGGTTGCTCCAACAGTACTGTGCCTCTCACACCTGAGAATATTGCCCACGATTTTTTTTTAAAATGGCATCTGTTTACAAGAGCCCTGAGGAAGCTACTGTGAACCCCGTGTAGCTGTGGGCCATTTGAATGAGGCCTGGTACCCTATGGCATATATATACGCCATGCGCACCATGGGACATGTTACTCAGGGCGTATATATACGCCATGCGCAGTTTAAGGGTTAATATTTTTCAGCTGCCCTGGTTTTTTCTTTTGAGGCCGGGGCTTTGGAGGACGATTCGACCCCGGATCCTGGTGTGGACGTTCCCGGGGTTGGGAAGGGGGCTGACTGGAGGGCCTTGGGCCCCATTGGATCCCTCCTGGGTTTTCCTGTCCTCGGAGTGGGGTTTACTGTTACATGGAGTGGGGTTTTCTTTACCCCCCCTCTACGTAGGAGTAGGTTTCTGGGGGGGGGGGAGCACCTTTGGGTCCCCGAAACTATCCAGACTGATATGCTAATGTCAGACTTTGGCATCAGTCATGCATATGGAGTTCTGTGGGCCTACCAGGGACCACGAGCCAGAACCTGGCCCCCTCAGAGAGGCATGGGGAGCAATGGCCTATAGAAACCCTCGTGTGGTTGGAAGCATTCTATGTCTGCTATCGACCGGGTCAGGCACCCAGAAAGGTAAGCGTCCCAAAACAAACTCCTATTCTGATGAAAATTGCTACAAAAACCGAACAAGTGGATAGAACTCCCCAAACCGAAACCCCTGGGGGTGGGCGGGTCCAGTGGATGTGACCCCTGAGTCCCCACCTCACTTTGTACAAGTTCGAGGGTTGCTCGGTCCCCTTGTCTCCGGGTGACTCGCTATTTTTCCCTCCGTCACGCTGCCTGTTGGGTCGGTGACACTTTCGACCCAGAGTCCTGCGAGATTTGTTGCTTGCTGGTGACTCAGTTTACCCTATCTAATGATGATCTTTTGCGGGGTACAGGCAGCGCAGGCATTGCATGTGCGCTTTAGGTTGGTTGCTTACCCGGATACCCCGAGACTGCCCCATTTTGCTTATAGGGACCCAAACTTAGGGGTGATGGTTGCTTCGGTCTTCATTCAGTCCGCACTCCCTTGTCCTTTCCCTGTTGTGGTTCGTTCTGCTCCTTCCCCTTTCCCTTGCTTCCGGCCCCTGAAACATCTGAGGATTTCGGAGTCGGGGTAGGGTCTAGATGGTCTTGAGGCTTGGGCTGCCTTGGGGGATGCTCCTTCCGGAGTGGTGAGGGAGGCATTCGAGTCCGATCTCCCTGCAGTCTGACCAGTGGGCCCCCTTCCATCTGGCTTTCACGGCGGCGCCGGCCTTTTCTTTTGAGGCCGGTGCTTTTGGTGATGACTCGACCCCAGGTCCTGCGGTGGAGGATCCTGGGGCAGGGGAGGGGCAAGGTCGGGAGCCGGTCGGCCGCCCTCCGGGTGCGTTCGTTCTGTCTTTCCGGAGGTTTTCAGCTTCCCGCATCCAACCTCCTGCGGTGTGGGCGGCCCTTGCGGCTTACCTCCTGCGTGACCTGGAGTATGCCTCTGTTATGGATCCGACTTCATTTAGGTTTGGGTTTTCGTTCCCCTACTGGATCCGTTGCGAGGTTCCGGAGTCGTCTTGGCTGGCGGACTGTCCTGTGTTTGCTATGGAGGCTTGGCATACCTTCTATCGTTCCCGTACGCATGAGTGGCCTGAGGCTTCGACAGTGGTTCAGGTTTTCCTGAGGGGCGAGTTTTAGCACCTCAATGAGTGCTTGTTTGCCCCTGCTCTTCCTCAGGATGTTGGCGTTGTTCAGCTGCATGTGCAGGTTCCTTCCCTTTCAGCTCCGCATGTTGCTGAGGACTTGCGCGGTCATGGCTTCTTGACTTCGGCTTTGCGTTTCTTTTCCCTCTTGGAGCTGTCTTCGTACTGGCTTGTGGAGGACGTTGGGACACTGGGGGGCCGTTCCTTAGTCCGGTGCCTTGGGTTTGGCGGCTCGCTCGTATCTGCCTTGTTGAAGTTGTTTGTGCCAATCTGCGGGATGCGGTTTCGCTGTTTTATGCTTCCTGGCTCACGTGTCGACAGGCGGTGCTTGCCTCCTCTCTGGAATCTGCCTGGGCCCTGGCTCTTAGGATGTCTTCGCCTTTTTGCCCCCTGCTGTTTGCTGACTGCAGTGGCGCAGTACTTGCAGGATCCTACAACTGGATCCTACATGGCATTGGTCCCATATGCCACTGGGCCCATATGAGCCTACGTGACTTTGTGCATAATTCTCAAGGGTCTGGAAGGTTCGAGATGGACTTCCCTAAATAAAAACTATTGGAACATTTGTTGCTTCTAGTGACGATTGCCTCTGATATTTTATAAGAATCATTGGTGCTCTTTGGTACGACTTATCTTCTTTAAGTACTGTATCTCATCAGATTATGATCACGTCTTATCTTAATAAATGAACATTGTGGGCTTCCCTTTCCGAATGCAGGGAGAGACCAGTTCGGACCTCAGGCATCCTGAAAATGGCCTGGGGATGTTCGTTTTGTTTATGAACAGTGGCAACACGTGTTGGTGTTAGGCGTCCTTGATCACGGGACATGCGCAGCACTACCTAATCTTATATCTCCAGTTATGGCTCTCTGGATACTGGGGGAGTTCTGGACTGTATTTGTAGGGTACATTCCTTGTACTTTTCTCTAATTTAGGGTGTAGCGTGGCTCGTAGTGATGCCGCCACCTCCTCTACACCACTCCTACTCTTATCCTCCTGCAAACATACCCAAGGTCATATATACCTAGCCGTGCTGCCGGCATCTTACCCGGCAACGCTGTCTTGACAAGGTACTGCCTAAGCTCTACAAGTGCTTATACAGTCTGGCAGCGCCGTCAGCCAGGCTCCGGTTCTCGGCTTTTGGATGAGTGTTGGGTTTTGTTTGTGGTATGTTGATTGGCCTATTTGCATGCATCTTATTTATTTATTTCTATACAGGACGGTACATTGGGGGTTAAGAGTGTACATAGCATTGATGATTACAACCTCTTATGTGGAACTCTGTCAAAAGCCTTTTTTAGGTCCAGATAGATGCAGTCAACCCAACCATCTCTTTCCTGTAATATCTCTGTTGCTCAGTCATAGAGACTGAGTAAATTCGATACACAGGATCTTCCAAATCGAAAACCATACTGTCTGTCTGATATTATATCATTTCTCTCCAGGTGTTCTACCCATTTAGTTTTAATTATTTTTTCCAATATTTTGACTATTACACTTGTCAATGATACAGGTCTATAATTAAGGGGGTCTTCCCTGCTTCCACTTTTGTAGATTGGAACTATGTTAGCCTTTTTCCACACATCAGCAACAACTCCTGTAAACAGGGATGCTTGAAAAATCAGTTGAAGTGGAATGCTGAGCTCAGGTGCACATCCTCTCAGAACCCATGGTGAAACTCCATCTGGACCAACTGCTTTGTTCTTATTTAGCTCCTTGAGCATTTTTTCCACTTCGTCTCTAGACACCTCTATGTGCTCTATGTTGTTCTCTGGAATTCTTATTGTGTCTGGTTCCCCGAAGATTTCATTTTGTACAAACACACTTTGGAACTTTTCGTTTAATGTTTCACACATTTCCTTTTCATTTTCCGTGAATCTATTTCCCATTTTCAACCTCTGAATATTATCCTTTACCTGCAATTTGTTGTTTATGAATTTATATATAGACCTGGTTCTGTTTTACATTTGTCTGCAATCCCTTTTTCAAAAAAAATTTCTGCCTCTCTCCTCACTGCCGTGTAGTTGTTTCTCGCATCTTTGTATCGCTGGTATGTTTGGGGGTTTGGCCTCTTCCTGTATTGATTCCATTTTTGTGTCTTGTGGTCTCTAGCCCTCTCGCAATTTCTGTTGAACCAATCCTGTTTCCTAGTTCTGCATCTCTGTTTTGGTATAAAATTTTTTGTGCCTTTATCATATATTTCACAAAACTTGACATACATCTCATTCACTTCCTTGCCTAGCAACAAGTCTGTCCAATTATGCTCACGAAAAAATTGTCTAAGGTTGCCATAATGTCCTCTCCTAAAGTCAGGTTTTTCAATTGCATCAACCTTCTTATTTTCTTCCAGATTATAACGCATTGCATACTTTATTCCCAAAAAGACATGGTCACTTTTACCCAAGGGAGGAAGGTACTGAATGTCAAATATTTCTTCCTCCTTCCTGGTAAATATCAAATCTAGCATGGAGGGAACGTCCCCTTCCCTCATCCTCGTAGCTTGTTTAACATGTTGATACAAGAATGTTTCCAGGATGAGGTCTACAAGTTTACAGGTCCCAAAAACCTCTGTTTTAGCTTCATATGCTTCCCAGTCTATGGATTGTGCGACGCTGGTGGAGCCTCTAAGGCTTGCTTTCGGTTTTGATGTTTCTACTGCACCGTTTCGCAAGTTGTCTCGGGCGTTGTTTCACCTCTGGCTGGTTCATACGCTGCCTGAGCTGTCCTTGTCTTAGCCTGGGTGCTCTCTTCTCTTCTCCTTGGTTTGTTGTGGCTCCTTTGGTTCAGGATTGTTTCTCAGAGGTTTCTGCTCCTTTGTGTTCTGATGTCCGGTTTGTTCGTTTGCGGCGTCTCTTCTTTTCTGTCTAGGTTGAGCTGGCAGGGAAGGGGTCCCTAGGGTTGTTGTTTATTGGTTGGTGTGGCCGGGGTGCATCTTCTTGTGCTCGGTTGTGGCTCTCAGCCATTGCCTGCGTGCCGCGGCCTCTGTGGCCCTGGATGCGCTTTGAGTTGCCCGGGTTCCCTTCGTCCCTGTTCCAGGGTTTAGGTCTTCCGGGTCGTCCACGGGATCGTATAGTATTGCCAGTGGTCTCGCTTTTGGGTTCGGGTGTGTGGTTTCCTCCTCCCGGGTTTGTCCCCTCTTTTGTTCTTGTCTTTGGGTAGTTAGCTCTGGGGAGCCAAAGGAGGCTTTCCCCAGAAAACCAGCGTTGAATATAGCAAAACGCAATTTTCTGGGTGAGACCCAGAGGCTCCACATCATCCCTCCCTCCCTCCAGTTGGTGTTTTTTTTGTGTGTGTTTTTGATATCCAGCCTAAGAACTGACAGGCTTGGGTAGCCGGCGGGAGGTCTGGGCTCCCCTTTCCCTCTCTCGGGGAGGGGGGGGGCGGTTGCGCAGATGGCAGCGCGTTGGTAACGAGATGACGTCATACTCGTTTGATCACCTTTCTTCATGGAGAGTTCTATCCTCTCGTTCGGCATTTGGTAGCATTTTTTAACCAGAATGGGGAGGGTGTTTTGGGGCGTCTATCTTTCTAGGTGTCCGACCCAGTCGATGGCAGACGTAGAGTACTTCTAAAACCATATATAAGGTGTGTCTATAGACCATTGCTCCTCGCGCCTCTCAGAGGGGGGCCAGGTTCTGGCTTGTGGTCCCTGGTAGGTCTAGAACTCCATGTATCAGCCTGGATAGCTCCGAGGAGCCTCCGGGTCTCGCTCAGAAAATGGTGTTTCACTACATTCAACTCTGGTTTTATTTTTAGATTTCTGGGTTCAAAATCTCAAATTTCAGCCACACAATGACTTAGTCTGCATTCATATTAGGCTATCTTCAATCCGTGACTGAAAGGCAAACTATAAGATCATGTCTAAACAAAGCTCTCTAAAATATTTTATTTATTATTATTATTATTTTTATTGTATTATTTTTGTGTTTAGAGAAGAATTCCTAGAAATAATAATAAATTAGATTTAATTATTAATCTTAATTAAAGCTATGTTTGTCAGTGACATTTTGTATCATATAATAGATAAGTTAAAGCATGTTCAACCCAATCATAGAGGACGGAACAAATTTTTTAGCAGGTGCATTTTGCAATACTGTACAAGTAAACTTTAATACTATTCCTATTACAAGAACATATATTACTGAATACTATATTTATTAGATATTCGTTTTTCATGTTTAATTTAGTTGTGAATTTTTTTGCAGACAAAACCATGTATTACATTGGCAAAACTGGCAGTGAGAAACGAATTGTTTTGTACACAAATGAAGAAAAAAATAAAGCATTTGAGGAATGTCATGTAATAGCAAAGACTGGGGAACACTGTGGTAAGTAGACATATGAAATGATTATGGAGAAAAGGGTTGATGATATATGCTGATTATCCTTGATTTATTTCACTACATCACTTTATACTCATCACCATCCACACTGCACATGATGTTTGGTGCTATGTCAGATACCCCACATAACCATTTGCCATAATGTTTCATGTATTAACACTAGTGCGCGCGGCACTCGCTGAAAAAAAAAAGCGGGTTGTGCGCGCGGCGTTCTGGCCGCTCAAGCGTGAACACAAAAAAGTTTATAATCTTTTCACGCTCCTAACATCAATTCTCAAGCTACGTTTTTCATTTTGGTATCAATGCGTTGGCAATAAAATTCTCTACAAGATCATATGCATAAAATGTCACCCAATCATTTGCTATCCCACCACGAAGTAAATAAACACGAAAATGACTCGCTGCGACACCCAAACAGGAAGTAAATGTTCATACTCTTTCGTTTGTTGCCAGCCTCACAGTCATCCTACAGCGCTTATTTTGATATTATTTTGATATCACTGAACTCGCAATAAAATTCCCCACCCAGACATATGCCTATCAATGTCTAATTATGTTCCGCACGAGTGTGGGAACTGGGCGAAGCGTTAGCCGTGATTTCAGCAGCGACGACACTGTTGTGATGCAGCGCTTTGAAAGTTTATACTTATTTCACTGTCATGACATTATTTCTCGAGCTACGTATTTCATTTTTATAGCAATGTGTTTGCAATAGAAAGTTCTATAAGAACATGGGTAGAATTGGCCAACAGTATATTGTTTTAGTTTAACCTAAACCTTAATCACAAAATTTTGTATACCACCATTTGCATTCCAATGGATTTTTCATCATCATCATAATGATAAAATATTAATGATCTTATCAATTTACATTCTACTGGCATTCTGCCATCCATATTTGCAATTTTTCATGAGATTGAGTCATGCTGAATGTTAACATTTTAGTTCTATTTTCTGGGAGGGGGGGGGGGAGACCTTACGGCTCCTCGGAGCTTACTAGGCTGATATGCTAATGTCAGACTTTGGCATCAGTCATGTGTATAGAGTTCTTACAGGCCTACCGGGGACCACGAGCCAGAACCTGGCCCCTTCTAGAGAGGCAAGGGAGGCAATGGCCTATAGAAACTCCCATTTCATATAGGCCATTGGAAGATGGAAGCATTCTATGTCTACCATCGACCGGGTCAGACACCCAGAAAGGTAAGCATCCCAAAACAAATGCCTATTCTGGTGAAAATTGCAACCAAAAGCCGAACGAGTGGATAGAACTCCCAAAACAAAACTAGCAAACTAGTATGACGTCACCCATCGCCGCCCCGCTGTCTGCGCAGCTCCCCCCTCCCCGGGAGGGGAAAGGGGGAGCCCCAGACCTTCCGTGCCGGCTATCCACACCCCAGTTCTAAGGGTGATGCTATCAGCTCGGTTGTGTGCTCTGGCTCCGGATATTTTGCGGCGCTGTGCCTAGTGTGTGGCGGCTGTTCTCCAGGGGTGCGAGAGCCAGGAGTTACTCTTTAGTACTCGGGCTGCATGCGCCTTGGGTTTCCTTCCCTAGGTACCCTGTAAGTACTGCCCTTAGAGCTTGGGATTACCTTCCACAAGTTCCTCGGGGTCTGCCTCTGTGGGTCCGTTTAACTGCTCGGTTTTTCAGCCGCCCTTTGGGTCCTTGAGTGTTTTGTCTCCCTCGGTTACCTTAGGGTAAGAGGCAGTTTTGTACTGGTAAGGGGTACAGGGTACAGCGCAGCTTGTTGTCACCTATCACAGCGGCCGGCTCTGTTCCTTGGGGTATGCTGTCCTCTTGCGGGGTTTTCTTTTTCTTTTTCTTTTTGCCTTGGTTGGGGGTTCTGCCCTACTTGCCACTGGTGTTTGGCCTTGTCCTGATATTCGGTGGTGCTCCTGCTAGGTCCCCATGAGTGTACATGTCCCTGGGGTTCGGCTGTAGACAGTTTGTTTGGTAGTTTTGGGCGCCGGTTAGCAGTACCCTGCCTGGGTTTACCTGAGCACGAGTCCTCTTATAGTAAACACTCAGGACCCTGGGAATACCCAAGGGGACGCATGGGTCCGATGGATGTGACCCCAGGGTTCCACCTCGCTTCATGCAAGTTTGAGGGTTGTTCGGTCCCCTTGTCTCAGGGCAACCCTCACGGTTTTTGGATCTGTCACACTGCCTGTTGGGTCGGTGACACTTTCGACCTGGAGTCCTGTGAATTTTGCTGCTTACTGGTGACTCAATTTACCCAGTCTGAGAATGATCTTTGGGTACAGGCTGCGCAGGCGTTGCATTCTAGGTTTTGTTTGTTGCAATGCGCTCGGTTGGTTGCTCACCCGGATGCCCCGGGTCTGCCCCGTTTTGCTTATCGGGACTCGGACTTGGGGGTGGGGGTCGCCTCAACCCTGGTTCGGTCCGCACCTTCCTTGTTCTTCCCCTTCTGTTGTTCATTCTGGTCCCCCTCCCCTGCTTCCGGCCCCGAAATGTCTGAGGGTTTCGGAGTCAGAGCAGGGGGTTAGTTGGTCTTGAGACTTGGGTAGCCTTGGGGATGCCCCTTCCTGTGTGTCGACGGAGGCATTCGAGTCTACTTCCCCAGCTGAAACCTCTGGGTCTTACCAGTGAGTCCCCTTCTGTCCGGCTTCTACAGCTGCGCCGGCCTTGTCTGGGGGGGTCTGGGCTTGGGGGGGAGGACTCGGCCCCGGGTCCTGCGGAGGAGGACCTTGGGGCTGGGGAGGGGCTGACTTGGGGGCCTTAGGCTCCACTGGACCCCCACCTGGGTTTTTCTGCCCTCTGAGTGGCGCTTATTGTTACAAGGAGTGGAGTTTTCTCCCCCTTTCCCCTCTGAGTACGAGTTGGACTTGGTGTCTGCCCCTCCCCTGGTTCGGTTCCACGTTCCCCCGGGTGCTTCGGGGGGGGAACATGGCGTCTTTCCGGAGGTTTTCGGCTTATCGCATCCAACCTGCTGCGGTGCGGGTGGCCTTTGCGGCGAACCTCCTGCGTGACCCGGAATATCCCTAGGCTTTCAGGTTTGAGACTTCGTTCCCTTTCTGGCTCCATTACGAGGTTCCAGAGTCGTCCTGGCTGGCGGACTGTTCTGTCTATACCTTTGAGGCCTGGCAATCCTGCCGTTCCCACATGCTTGAGTGGTGGGAGGCTTCGATGGTGCTGCAGGTTTTCCTGAGGGGCGATCTAGAGCACCTCAATGAGTGCTTATTTGCTCCAGCCCTTTCCCGAGATGTTGGTGTCATTCAGCTCCATATGCAGGTTCCCTACCTTTCAGCGGCGCTGGTCGCTGAGGACTTGTGCGCCCGGGGCCTTTTGGCTTTGGCCTTGCGTTTCTTTTCCCTCCTCAAGCTGTCTTCGGATTGGCTCACGGAGGATGTAGGGGTGCTTGGAGCTGTTCCTGGTTCTGGCTCCTTAGCCTCGGCGGCTCACTCATCGGCTGCCTTGCTGAAGCTTTTCGCGCCGATCTTGCGGGATGTGTTGGCTCTGTTTTATGCTTCTTGGCTTACGTGTCAGCAGGCGGTGCTTGCATGTTCTGTGGAATCCGCTTTTACCTTGGCTCTTAGGATGTCTTCGCCTTTTTGTCCTCTTCTGTTCGAGGCTTCGGCCGTTGCGCGGTTTATTCAGGCTGCTTCGGCTTCCTGCGGACTCTCGGACCGCTTCCTTGTCTCTTCTTCAGGAATCTCTCCTGCGGCTGTGGTCCCACTTGCGCCTGTTTCTGGGGGCTTCCGGGTCACCCGGCGGCTGCTCGAGGGTCTGTGCAGGAGCTTGAACTTCGCGATGCTGGTTTACCCGCCGGGTCGGGTTTGGCTTCGTCAGCTGTTCTGGTTCCTTCGGGGACGTCCCTTCCACCTCTCTCACAATCACTGGGTTCAGCCTCCGGGGGCTTTGCGTCGGCTGCTGCTTCGCCAACTTCCACTTCGGGGTTCAGTGCCTTGGCGCCTTCCCGAGCCCTCGCTCGATGTGTTCATGGACGCGTCGTCTCTTGGCTGGGGCTTTGTGACCTGTGCTCACCAGGCCGGCCAGGGACGATGGGGTCCGTCCTTCTGTCGAGCCCACAGCGGGATTTCGCAGCGGTGTGGTTTCCTCTTTGGAGGCTTCGAATCACCCGCAGGTCAGCAATCCGGGTCCATTTGGACGGTTCCCCGGTGGTTCTTTGTCTGAACCGGGGGGGTTCGATGCAGTCCTTGGCCCTTTGGCGCTGGTCTCTTCGGGTGACTCGTCTGATGAGTTCTCAGGGTTTGGCTCTTCTGGAGGTTCACGTGCGGGGAGTGTCCAACGTCTTGGCCGACGGCCTCTCCCGTTTCGTTTCCCTCTCCACAAAATGGACAGTTGACGCCGATTCCTTCCGTTGGCTCTGCCAGACATTCGGGTGCCCCAAGGTGGACCTCTTCGCGTCGGCGTGGTCGCGGCGCCTTCCCCAGTACGTGGCGCCCTTCCCCGATTGCGAGGCTGTCGGGGTGGATGCCTTTCAGCAGGACTGGTCGAGATGGGGGTTTCTGAATCTCTTTCCCCCTGTTCAGCTGTTGCTTCAGTTCCTGACTCGCTTGGAGACCTACCAGGGGAGAGTAGTCCTCTTGGCCCCGTGGTGGCCAGCCCAGCCGTGGTTTCAGGCGCTGCTTGCCCAGTGTCCGAACCCAGTTTTCCCGTGGCTCCACCTCTTTGAGCAGATCGGACCGGTACGTCACGTGCATGGTTCGATCTTCTCCAAGTCTTCGCATATGTTTTTTTGACTCGAGTCTATCATCATCTCTGTGGTGATCAGGGGGCTTCTTTGTTAGTGTCCCACCTGCGGGCTTCTTGGCGGCAGTATGAGGTTTTCTGGAGGTCCTTCCGGTTCTTCTTACGTCTTCGTCATTGAATTTCACTTTTTGTTAGGGTGGTGTTGTCCTTTCTCTCTTGGTGGTTCCAGGACCGTCACCTTATGCCTAACACTGTCGCCTCGTATCGTGCGGCGCTAGCAGAGCCGTTTCAGCTTGCTTTCGGTATTGATGTTACGTCTGTACCGTTTCGCAAGCTGTCTCGGGCGTTGTTTCACCTCCGGCCTGCTCATACGCTGCCTGAGCCGTCCTGGTCTTTGGACAAAGAGCTCGCTTTTCTTTATTCTCCTTGGTTTGTTGTGGCCCCTTCGGTTGTGGATTGTTTTTTGAAGGCTCTTTTCCTGTTGGCGTTGGCCTCTGGGGGTTGAGTTTGTTAGCTTCATGCTCTCCTCCGGCACAATGGTTTCTGCCCCTTTGGTTGGGGTTGGGGCTCTCGGTTTGTTCATCTGCAACCTTCTTCTTTTCTGGCGAAGAATGAGACTACTACCAGGGATGCATCATGTTTTGTGTCCGGTTGCGGCTCTCTGCCAGTATTTGCGTGTAATGGCTTCTGTGTCCGAGGGCGTGCTTTGGATTGATCCGGTTTCCCTTCTTTCCTGTTCGCGGGTGTGGGTCTCCCAGGTCGTCCGCAGAGTTATTAAGGCTAGCCAGCCTGCGGTCTATGCCCGTGACATTTGCAAGTTCATGGCTCTTGCTGCCGTTTTTGGGAATATGTCTTGGGCTGATATTTGGGCGCAGGGCTTTTGGCGGTCGCACAGGGTCCTGGCTGCTCGTTACCTTGTTAATGTCCCTGGGCCCGGTCGGGCCTGTGTCGCTATGGGTCGGCGGATGCAGCCAGTTGTTTCGACTTCGGGTTGAGGAGTGAACTCCTCGGCATCCCTACCTCCCTCCGGTCGGCGTTTTTTTTCGCGTGTTTTGACATTCAGCCTTAGAACTGGGGTGTGGATAGCCGATGCAGGTCTATGGCTCCGCCTTTCCCCTCCCGGGGAGGGCGGGAGCTGCACAGACAGCAGCGTGGCGACGGGTGACGTCATACTAGTTTGCTAGTTTTGTTTGGGGAGTTCTATCCACTCGTTCGACTTTTGGTTGCAATTTTCACCAGAATAGGGGTTTGTTTTGGGACGCTTGCCTTTCTGGGTGCCTGACCTGGTCGATAGCAGACATTGAATGCTTCCAACCACACGGGAGTTTCTGTAGGTATTTGCTCCCCTTGCCTCTCTAGAGGGGGGCCAGGTTCTGGCTCGTGGTCCCCGGTAGGCCTGTAAGAACTCCATACACACAACTGATGCCAAAGTCTGATATTAGCATATCAGCCTAGTAAGCTCCGGGGAGCCTCCGGATCTCGCCCAGAAAATGGCTTTTCATTACATTCAACGCTGTTTTTTTGACAATTTATGAATAAATAAATTTAGATTTATTTTCTAGTTGCCTATTCTAAAATTTAAAATTTGTATCATCACAATCTGAATTTTTGACAGGTCGCACTAAAACATTACGTCGCCTTACAGAAAAATACTATTGGACATGTATGGTAGAAGATATTGTAGCAATGGTAAGCTATTATAGCTTTTGTTAAAATTACATGGGTTATTATTGGGGAAAATCTTGAATTTAGTTAACCTAAATATACGGTTATATAAAATATACTCTGTCATATCCATTAATAAATTCTCAGCTGACAGTACAGTGGTGGAGTGTGCATGCTGTCATTAATATTCTCCCCATTATTAAAGAGTGTGCATGCTGTCATTAATATTCTCCCCATTATTAAAGAGTGTGCATGCTGTCATTAATATTCTCCCCATTATTAAAGAGTGTGCATGCTGTCATTAATATTCACCCCATTATTAAAGAGTCTGCATGCTGTCATTAATATTCACCCCATTATTAAAGAGTGTGCATGCTGTCATTAATATTCTCCCCATTATTAAAGAGTGTGCATGCTGTCATTAATATTCTCCCCATTATTAAAGAGTGAGCATGCTGTCATTAATATTCACCCCATTATTAAAGAGTGTGCATGCTGTCATTAATATTCTCCCCATTATTAAAGAGTGTGTATGCTGTCATTAATATTCTCCCCATTATTAAAGAGTCTGCATGCTGTCATTAATATTCTCCCCATTATTAAAGAGTGTGCATGCTGTCATTAATATTCACCCCATTATTAAAGAGTCTGCATGCTGTCATTAATATTCTCCCCATTATTAAAGTGTGCATGCTGTCATTAACATTCTCCCCATTATTAAAGAGTCTGCATGCTGTCATTAATATTCTCCCCATTATTAAAGAGTGTGCATGCTGTCATTAATATTCTCCCCATTATTAAAGTGTGTGCATGCTGTCATTAATATTCTCCCCATTATTAAAGAGTGTGCATGCTATCATTAATATTCACCCCATTATTAAAGAGTCTGCATGCTGTCATTAATATTCACCCCATTATTAAAGAGTCTTCATGCTGTCATTAATATTCTCATCATTATTAAAGAGTGTGCATGCTGTCATTAATATTCTCCCCATTATTAAAGAGTCTGCATGCTGTCATTAATATTCTCCCCATTATTAAAGAGTGTGCATGCTGTCATTAATATTCTCCCCATTATTAAAGTGTGTGCATGCTGTCATTAATATTCTCCCCATTATTAAAGAGTGTGCATGCTGTCATTAATATTCTCCCCATTATTAAAGAGTGTGCATCCTGTCATTAATATTCTCTCCATTATTAAAGTGTGTGCATGCTGTCATTAATATTCTCCCCATTATTAAAGAGTGTGCATGCTGTCATTAATATTCACCCATTATTAAAGTGTCTGCATGCTGTCATTAATATTCACCCCATTATTAAAGAGTGTGCATGCTGTCATTAATATTCTCCAAATTATTAAAGAGTGTGCATGCTGTCATTAATATTCACCCATTATTAAAGTGTCTGCATGCTGTCATTAATATTCACCCCATTATTAAAGAGTGTGCATGCTGTCATTAATATTCTCCCCATTATTAAAGAGTGTGCATGCTGTCATTAATATTCACCCCATTTTTAAAGAGTGTGCATGCTGTCATTAATATTCTCCCCATTATTAAAGAGTGTGCATGCTGTCATTAATATTCACCCCATTATTAAAGTGTCTGCATGCTGTCATTAATATTCACCCCATTATTAAAGAGTGTGCATGCTGTCATTAATATTCACCCCATTATTAAAGTGTGTGCATGCTGTCATTAATATTCTCCCCATTATTAAAGAGTGTGCATGCTGTCATTAATATTCACCCCATTATTAAAGTGTCTGCATGCTGTCATTAATATTCTCCCCATTATTAAAGAGTGTGCATGCTGTCATTAATATTCACCCCATTATTAAAGTGTCTGCATGCTGTCATTAATATTCACCCCATTATTAAAGAGTGTGCATGCTGTCATTAATATTCACCCCATTATTAAAGAGTGTGCATGCTGTCATTAATATTCACCCCATTATTAAAGTGTCTGCATGCTGTCATTAATATTCTCCCCATTATTAAAGAGTGTGCATGCTGTCATTAATATTCACCCCATTATTAAAGAGTGTGCATGCTGTCATTAATATTCACCCCATTATTAAAGTGTCTGCATGCTGTCATTAATATTCTCCCCATTATTAAAGAGTGTGCATGCTGTCATTAATATTCACCCCATTATTAAAGAGTGTGCATGCTGTCATTAATATTCACACCATTATTAAAGAGTGTGCATGCTGTCATTAATATTCTCCCCATTATTAAAGAGTGTGCATGCTGTCATTAATATTCTCCCCATTATTAAAGAGTGTGCATGCTGTCATTAATATTCTCCCCATTATTAAAGAGTGTGCATGCTGTCATTAATATTCTCCCCATTATTAAAGAGTGTGCATGCTGTCATTAATATTCACCCCATTATTAAAGAGTGTGCATGCTGTCATTAATATTCACACCATTATTAAAGAGTGTGCATGCTGTCATTAATATTCTCCCCATTATTAAAGAGTGTGCATGCTGTCATTAATATTCACACCATTATTAAAGTGTCTGTATGCTGTCATTAATATTCACACCATTATTAAAGTGTCTGTATGCTGTCATTAATATTCACCCCATTATTAAAGAGTGTGCATGCTGTCATTAATATTCACCCATTATTAAAGAGTGTGCATGCTGTCATTAATATTCACACCATTATTAAAGAGTGTGCATGCTGTCATTAATATTCACCCCATTATTAAAGAGTGTGCATGCTGTCATTAATATTCACCCATTATTAAAGTGTGTGCATGCTGTCATTAATATTCACACCATTATTAAAGAGTGTGCATGCTGTCATTAATATTCACCCCATTATTAAAGAGTGTGCATGCTGTCATTAATATTCACACCATTATTAAAGTGTCTGTATGCTGTCATTAATATTCACCCCATTATTAAAGAGTGTGCATGCTGTCATTAATATTCACCCCATTATTAAAGAGTGTGCATGCTGTCATTAATATTCACACCATTATTAAAGTGTCTGTATGCTGTCATTAATATTCACCCCATTATTAAAGAGTGTGCATGCTGTCATTAATATTCACCCCATTATTAAAGAGTGTGCATGCTGTCATTAATATTCACACCATTATTAAAGAGTCTGCATGCTGTCATTAATATTCACAACATTATTAAAGTAAAACATTACCTATTTTAGTGGATGGTAAATTTCTTTGAATAAACTTCATTGTTACGAAGTTTGTTGAGTGAAATTTGATGTGCATGAGAATTAATATAGAAACAATTTACATTAATTACAATAATACAATTTGTACAGATTGTTAGATGCAAAACATGCGAGTTCAACAAACTGAATAGACCAAATCAGCGTTATGTACGTGTTACCGAGCCATGGGAGGTGAGTTTGAAATTATTTGACCTCTTAACATTAAGGACATCTGTCAACCCTTCTTTCTCGAGTGCACATTTAAATACTGAATATCTTTTCTTTAAAATACTCATTTTAAAAGACAGAAATGATTAAAATAACCACTTTAAAAAGCAAAAGCATGTAACAATAGTTGCATTAAAAGGCAAACAAATACTGTAATTAAATTAACAAGCTATACTGTACAATAATTAAAAGTAACAGAAATTTTTCATATTTAAACAAATTTTTTGTGGGGGGAGCCCCTGCGGCTCCTCAGAGCTATCCAGGCTGATAGAATTTAGAATTTGATAGAAATATAGAATCTTTTTAGAATTTGGCATCAGTCGATGTGGGTGGAGTTCTATGCGTACCGGGGACCACAAGCCAGATCCCGGCCTCCTCAGAGAGGCACGAAGAGCAATGGTGTATAGAACTGCACATATGGGAAACCCTGGGTCCTGGGAAACCCCCCGGGGGCTCTCGGGTCCGATAGTGGAGACCCTTGCGTCCCCTCTCGCTTTGTGCGAGTTGAGGGTTGCTCTGTCCCTTTGTCTCAGGGTGACTCTCCTTGTTTTTGCCTCCGTCATGCTGCCTGTTGGGTCGGTGACACATTCGACCCTTGAGTCCTGCGAGCTTTGTTGCTTGTTCGTGACTCCATTCACCCAGTCTGCTGATGAATTCCCATGGGTGCAGGCAGCTCGCGCGTTGCAGGGTAGGATGTTGCAACGCACTCTGGTTTGTCGCTTCCCCGGACGCCCCGATGCTGCCCCGCTTGTGTAGGGACCCAGACTTGAGGGTTTTGGTCACTTCGGCCTTGGTTCTTCCACGCCCCCCCTTGTTTTTCCCCCTCCTGCTTCCGGCTCCTACGTATCTGCAGGCTTCGGGGTCAGGGGTTAGAGGTTCTGAGACTTGGGCAGTTTCGGGGCTTGCCCCGTCCGGGGTAGCTGCGGAGGCATTCAAGTCTGTTCCTCCAGCCAATGCTCAGGGGTCTGACCAGTGGGCCCCTTCTCTTTCAGCTCTCGGCTGCCCCGGCTTTTTCTTGTGGGGCCGGGGCTTTGGAGGTCGACTCGGCCCCGGGGCCTGGTGCAGAGGCTCCTGGGGTTGGGGAGGAGCGGCCTTGGGGGCCTTGGGCTCCATTGCACCCCGCCTGGATTTCAGTCCTTCTGAGCGGGGCTTACTGTTGCGAGGAGTGGGGTTTTCTTTCCCCCCTCTGCGTACGATTTGGGCTTGGGTTATGCTCCTCCCCGGGTTCGGTTCCGTGTCCCTGTGGTTTCTTCGGTTCCGTGTCCCTGTGGTTTCTTCGGTTCCGTCTTCAGGAGGTTTTCGGCTAACTGCATCCCTTCGCCTGTGGTGCGGTTGGCCTTTGCGGCTTACCTCCTGGGTGTCCCGGAGTTTGCCTCCATACTGGGTCCTTCTGTTCTGGACAGGTTGGGCTCCTTGTAGCCGTTCGGGCTACTTCTCGCCTTGTTGGGCTACTTCTCGCCTTGTTGGGCTACTTCTCGCCTGGTTGGGCTACTTCTCGCCTGGTAGGGCTACTTCTCGCTTTATTGGGCTACTTCGCGCCTGGTTGGGCTACTTCGCGCCTGGTTGGGCTACTTCTCGCCTGGTTGGGCTACTTCTCGCCTGGTTGGGCTACTTCTCGCCTTGTTGGGCTACTTTCTTTCGCGTCCTGCGCATGCGCCATGGGAGTTTGTTTTGGTTCCGGGCGATGTGCACACGTGTTCTGCTTCTGGGGGGGGGGCTTCGCCTCTCGCTCTTTTCTTAATCCAATCCGTGCCTCGTTGCTTTGGGGGTGTTCTGGAGTGCCGCTGTGGGGAAATCCATGAGGTTTTTCCCTGCGTTCTAGGGTGGGGAGCCTCCTTCGCTGCTCCCCTCCTCTCCAGCATGGGCGCACTGACCGCCTCTGGCGGATACGGACTCGAACGCTTGCGTCATGGCCCTTCAGGGCCTATGTTCTGCAGGTGAGTTGAGCGGTTTTGGCGTCTCCTTCGTCCTGACGCTGTTTTTGTTTTTGTGAGTAGGAATGGGTGTACATACGTCCTTGAGATCGTGGACCGTATCACCCGAGGTGCCTACTGCAGGGCTATTAGCCCATACTGGGCAGCTCTTGTTCTCTCCACCTGATTCCTTCCTCGGTTCACGGGTGTCTGCGGGTGGCCTCTTGTCCCTTCCGAGGCGGTTCCTGCCTGTACTCCTCCTGCCCCTCTCCTATGCTTGTCTAACCTTGCTTGAGTTCGGGGCCCCGCCTCCACCTTGTGCCGCAGTGCAACGGTGGGGGTGCCTGTTTAGTAGTAAGTTTTCCTGTGTCGGAGGTTTTGTGTTCGCCTCCTTGTGTTTGCAGGTTGGGTTCTGGCTCTTTGTTTCCGCCTCTTCCCTGTCGTTTGCCTGTCGGGCGGATTCTGTGCTTCTTGGGCACTCTCATCTCTGCTCTTGGGGCTGTGTATGGGGTCAGCCCATGTTGGGCTGCCTACTGTGTTTCTTTGATTGCCTGTTACACTGCATACGTTTCTTCTGCCGTCCCTGTGGCTCAGTTGGGTGCTCGGTTTCCGCCTGTGTCCCCTTGTGTGCCACTCGTGTACGATTTATCTATCTTCTCTGTCGCTTCCTCGGGGAGTGTGGTGATGTTTTGCTGTGGTTTTGGTACTGCGGCTGCGTGTCAGGGTTGGTTTTGGCGTTATGTTCGGCCCTTCCGTGCTCCCTCTGGGGCTCTCCTTCCTTGCCGGTCTTGCTGTGCCGGGCCTGGTTTTTCCATGTTCCTTGGATTCACTGTCTTGTCCTCGCCTCATTGTGATGGCTGGGGATGAGCTTGGGGTCTTCGTCTTGCCCCTCGCCTATCCTCCGTTTTCGGTTCAAGTTCCAGAGCCTAGTGGGCTCCCTTCCTTCGTGTTTTTCACGGCTGCCCCAGGGTTTTTCTTGACGCTGGGGCTTTGAGGGGACAGCTCGGCCCCGGGGCCTGCAGGGTGGGTTCCCGGGGCTGGTGTGGGGCTCAAGTGAGGGGCCTCAGGCCCCGTTGGTCCCCGCCGAGGTGTTTCTACCCCTCTGGGCGGGGCTTGCAGTTTTGTGGTGTGGGGTTTTCGGTTCCCCCTCTCCGCACGTGCTTTGTGGGCGTCGGCCCCTCCCTGGGCTCGGTTCCTTGTCCATTGTGCCCGTTTTCTGGTGCGTCTGTTGTCATTCGGTTGAGCTTCCCTCCGGTCCTTTCTAGGGCTTGTGGGTCCTCTTCCCGGCAGCTTCTGGGTGTTGACCTTTTTGTTCTTTTGTGAATATCTCTTCTCTTCACACTGTCTCGGCGCTACTAGTTTTCCTGGGAGCGATTTTGCTCCTCTTAATGAGTCTTTTCGCTCCTGCCCTTCTGCGGGATGTTGGTGCAGGGTGGCTCCTTATGCGAGTTCCTTCCCTGTCAGCTGCACTTGTGGAGGTGGACTTGCACACTTGTGGCATTTTTGTTTTGGTCCTGCGTTTTCTTTTCCCTCCTGGGGCTGTCATAGGATTGGCTTGCGGAGGTTGTAGAGGCGCTTGGGGCCGTTCCTGGGTCTGGCACCTTGGTTTCTGCTGCTAGCCTTCGGTATCGATATTCCTTCTGCGCCGTTTCGCAGGTTGTATCGTGCGGTTACACCTCCAGCCTGCTTATGCACTGCCTGTGTCGTCCTGGTCTTTGGACAGGGTGCTCTCCTGTTTTTCTTCTCCTTGGTGGTTGTGGCTCCTTGGGGTCAGGTTTGCTTTGCCTCGGTTTTCTTTTTGTGTTGGTATTCGCCTCTGGGGGTCGTGTGGCAGAGCTTCTTGCTCTTCTCAGGCGCAGTGGTTTTTGGCTCCTATGGTCGTGATCATAGGTTTCTTCGTCTGCGGCCGTTCTCCCTTTTTACTGGCGAATAATATACCATGGGTTGTTGTCTCGACTTCGTGTTGAGGAGTGATTCACCGACCGCCTCCCGGGTATGTCACCTTGTTTTCTTAGGTAGTCTTTGGTGAGGTAGCTCCGGGGAGCCATAGGGGCTCCCCCCAGTTCAACCAGCGTTGAATGTAATGAAACGCCATTTTCTGGGTGAGTCCCGGAGGCTCCCCGGCACCCTCCCGCCCTCCGGTCAGCGAGGTTTTTTCACTGTTTTGATATCCAGCCTCAGAACTGGGGCGGGGATCGCCGGCGTGGGGGTCTGGGGCTCCCCCTTCCCCCTCCCGGGGAGGGGGGAGCTGCGCAGACATGCGGCGCGGCTCGTGTGACGTCATGCTTGTTAGTTAGTTCGTTTTCCTGGGGGAGTTCTGTCCACTCGTTTGTCAATTTTTGTTGTTAACCAGAATAGGGGTTTGTTTTGTGGCACTTACCTTTCTGGGTGCCTGTCCCGGTCGATGGCAGATATAGAATGCTCCAAATCACATGTGCATTTCTATGGGCCATTGCTCCCCGTGCCTCTCTGAGGGGGCCAGGTTATGGCTCGTGGTCCCCGGTAGGCCTAGAACTCCACCCACATCGACTGATGCAAAATAGTTAGGGTATCCATATCAGCCATGGATAGTTCCGGGGAGCCTCCGGGACTCACCCAGAAAATGGCGTTTCATTACATTCAACGCTGTTTTTTTTTTTTTTAATAATTATAAAATTTCTAATTTATTTTAAATATAGCTAGAAGTGTTGCTGAAAGACTAGGTTTTCTTACAGTAAAAAAAGAAAAGAATGTAGTGAAGAATGTTTCACTACATTCAAAAACATCTTTCTCATAGAGTCCCAGGGGCTCCTTAAAGCCATCTCACTGAAAGGGATTATTACTACCGAGTCTCATTAGCCATTGGAATCCTGTTTGGCCTAACAAGCACCCAGAACAAAAACTCCACCCCCCCCCCCCCTCAGAGGTGTAATGAGCTAGGGGCTCTTACAATCACCCACTGAGAAATCATCCAGAAAGTAAGTGTTAGACAACTGCAAGGTTGACAAAATAAAACACCGTAACAGCCAAATGACTCGGCCAGCAATTCATTCCAAACCACTTGGTTCACTT